ATTATCTGCACATTCTTTGTCTATTTCCTACGGGTACACATGCCTGGATCTTCGTTAATATGTAAGATTGTTTTTATACCCATGATATTGACCCCGTGGCAAACGGCACTGATGTCTTTCTCAGTTTGCTATTTCTCTTCTGATTTTCTTTTCTTTCTTTCTTTGTTTAAGGCACAACGATGTTCTTAAAACTTAAATCATCAAACCTTAGAAACATCTTTCACGGTTTCACACTGATGTCATCCTTAGAAAGGCCCTCTCCACTGCTGAGGTTCACGTTTTCTTTAATTCCAGGCTTTCGCCTTTCACATTCCACTTTTAATCTATTTCGGACTTAACGCAGATACATGCATTGACTGTTTTCCCAAGTTTATCCACCTGTCCCAATATGATTGTTACTTTTGAGTCTATCATTTCTCTGCAGATTTGAAATAACACTTTCATCATCTACATTTTAGGTATACTTTGACCTGTTTTTAGACTTTGTTTTGTGGCAACGAGTTGTCTGTTCTTGTACCAGTATCCTCTTGTTTCAATTGCTGTCGATAATATTATTTAATTTTATTATTAAAATTACTTAATTGCTTGTAGATAATATTATAGGACACTCATCCCTCGTGACAAATCTTTTTCAAAAACTTGTGGGAAACCATTCATCTAATAATGTGGTCACTCTTTGTTAAATATTTGACTAAGGTGTGGCAGGAGCAATGAGGACAAAGTTGGAATCCTGACGGGAGTCACCTTTGTTGTGACTTGCTGGCAAGCTGATCTTGATGCCTGGCGAGCTCATGTGTGCAGGGCAGAACTGTACTCTTAGCAGGTTTCCAAGAATCCATGGGTGTGTGGCGCTGCCTCATGGTGACTTGAATTAGCCTTCCCCAAGGACTAAGGGTGTTGAACATCTTTTCATGTGTTCATTTACTACCTCAGTGAGTTCTTTATGATATAAGTGTTTTATCAGACTGGCGATTTACAGATTTCTCTGGGTCACTTAAGATAATCCTTCCAAGAGCAGATATTCTTAATTTTGATGGAATCCAGTTTTTAATGTATTCTATGGCTTATTCCTCTGGTGTCAAATCCAGAAACCAAAAGAATTATTCATAGAATAAAAAGTTAATAAATTGGATTCCTGGCTAAGCTGAGTCACACATGTTTTCTCCTAGAAGTGGTGTGGTCTTTGGTCTACATGGAATTCGATGGTCCATTTGGAGTTAGTTCTGGCACATGATACGAGGAATGCTGTAAGGCTTACTTGTTTTACGTATAGAGATCCAATTATTCCAGTGTCACTTGTTGGAAGACTTTTATTTGTCCATGGAATTGCTTTTGGACCTCTGTCAAAAATCAATTCACCAAATACATGTGGCTCTACTTTGGAATTTCTATTCTGCTCCATTGATGGATTTATCTATCTTTATGTGATTATATAATAACCTATGTACAGTTCTGCGGCTCTCCCTCCTCATTTCCTAATCAAATCATCCCGAAGGCCTCTGTAGGTCCCTAGAGCAGTAGACGGGTCTCTCTCCCAATCATAACTCAGACTGCTGGTCTTTGCACAAATGAGTGGGCTTGGATCTTTCTCGGTCCGACTGAGAATAGCACACACGCTTGGGGCAGGCTGAGCCGTGAGGCAGCCATGCCTGGCTCTCCCTGAATGGCAGCGGTTTCGGGCAGTGCCTTTTTAAAAAAAATCAATTTATTGGGGCTCATACAATTCATCACAATACATAGTTCAATTGTGTAAAGCACATCTATACATTTGTCACCCTCATTATTCCCAAAATTTGCTTTCCTCTTGGGTTGACGCAATCAGCTTTTCAGCCATTCTATTATGTCCCAGAAAGCCCTTATCAACAACAATTCACCT